TCTTTCCCTTATTGCAGTAATCTTAAATAAAGTCTTTCATACCTGTTTGACTATGTCTCATGCAATTTTTATTTGCCACAATCAATGGCCTTTTTTGAAATTTCTTCATACAAATTTCTACCAAAGTATTGTTTCAGCAGTGAAAGTACCTAGTGTCTTGCCTGTTTATGCCAATAATATCACATCTCACAAAGGACATTGGACTGGAAGAGGAGCAAAACTCACTGTCTTGACAACCCATGTCAGTTTAATTTGGAAGAGAATAGTTGAGACAGCCTGGTACAAAGGTTGTCTTTTGTAATATACAACATGTGTGAGTTTTCCCAGAAGACAATGATGGTAAAAGAGGAACAGAGACTAACTTGATGGAGACAACATCAGGAGAATTTAGATGGGTAGTCAGGGGAGACATCTTTAAGTGCCGATATTTAAGGGGAAAGTTGAGTATGAAAGGGGAAGAACATTCTAGACATAGAGAATTAAGTTTAATAGCCTCAAAGCTGAAGAGAACATGATCTGTTTGAAGAACTATAAGAAAGTTAATATGTCTAGACAAGTGGTTCTCAAACTTAGTATGCAGTAGAATTACCTGGGGTTTTTTTAACCTATAACTATATGAGTTCCAGCTGCAGAGGTTCTGATTCAGCGGGTCTGGAGTGGGGGCTGAACATTTTCATTTATAAGCTCCCAGATGATGCTGACAGTGCTGGTCCAGGCACCATGAGGAGTTGAAAAGGAATTGAAGAGATTAAATAATGAAGGGTTTTATAGACCTTGGCAAAAAGTTCAGATTTGAGTTTAGGAGTAACACAAAATGACTGGAAGTTTTTAAGTAGAGAAGTCATAACTTCTGATGACACTTAAAAAATTGATCTGGCTTCTATGTAAAGGGAGGCACAGTCAATATTTAGAAGCCATTTAGAACACTGTTGCAAGAGCAAAATGTTTATATGAGCTGTTTTTTAAGAATGGGAAAAGCAAATCATACTTAAGGCAATGTTGCTCAGATAATGTAATTGCTTTGATATGAGGAAAGGAAAAGAGGACGTACAATGACAAAATTGAGTGGGTGTGGGGGTAGAAGGAGCTAGTAACCTGGAAGAGAGTAAATGTCTCTTCCTGAGAATCTGAGCAGCTATATGCTAGTGGATTTCAACAGTAGAAACAAGAAGAGAGTTTAGTGTGTCTGCCAGCATGCAGTTAGTCTTTCTACTATTCAGTGTCACCCGTCTGTGTATCTCTGCATTCTAATGGACGAGCCTTGGAATATTCCTCAGTTCTTTAGGAACCTGCTCTTCCCAGAAGGACAAGAATATCCTTACTATTAAACAATGATTGCCGCATGCTCAATGCCTCCAAAACCTAATGAACAGAGGAATCAGGGAACCCTGATCAAACTCGTAACCAAAATCAGAGGCAGGAGCATGCTTATGATTGGACCATAGGACCTATAGAAATTTGAAGAGGTCGACAGAGGCCAAATAAATTATTATTCTTAAGCCATATGTTATTTACACTCTAGGGTTTAATGTTTTAAAATAAACATTTTGAAGTGTAATACTCATGTAGATTTTATCTTACCTGATTAGTTCAAATTCTGCACTTCTTTTCTATCAAACATCTCTCAGTCTGGATTTCTAGGTTCATTAAGATTTTCTATGGGGACCTCCAGACCATCCCAAAATTTCTATACTTCATCTCCTCTCCTTGAATTTTCCTATTACTGAGCCCAGCATTGGGTTTGTAATTTATACAACATTGCTGACAATTCAAAGAACTAACTTGAAACTATCTTTAAAATCTTCTCAAAATAATTTTATTACTCCTTGTGAAGCAGACTCTGCGACAGTGATTGGCATGCAAGATGTTTAGCAGGCAATGCTCCTGGACTCAATACCTAGGGAAGAGCAGATGTGTAATAAGGAACTTGTCCTCACCTGAGGAGAGATACGGCCTTTGTCCCAGCTCCTAGAAGATAAACTTTAAGCTCTTGAAATTTAATGATAAGAGTAATTGGTTGTTCATGATGAGCCCCATGAACCATACCTGATAGTTTGTGTTAATGAGATGACTCAAAGTGGAGACTGGCCATGCCAAAAAGACCAAACTCATAAATAAAGTGTTGGAACATTGGGCAAAGTGATACCAATCCAACCTTTGGAGAGAGAGGCTGGAAACTGAGTTCAATCAAACGGGCAATCATGTAATTAATCACACCTATGTAATGAAGCCTCAATAAAAACTCTGGACACAGAAGCTCAGGTGAGCTACCTGGTGGGCAATACTCAGTGCTGTCTCACAGTGTGGCCAGGAGGCAGTAATCGATCTAGACTCACAGGGAGAGGACCAGAAGATTGACATATGAGACCTTCTAGGTCTTGCCCTATGTGTACTTCTTTTGGCTAGTTCTAATATGTATTCTTTTGCTATAATAAAACTGTGATCATAAGTATATTCTGTGACTCATTCTGATGAATTATTGAATCTGAAGGAGTTGTTTCAGATTAAGTATTTCTAAGAAATTATTGAATGTGAGGGAATCTCTGAATTTGTAGCTAACTGGTCTAAAGTGAGGTTGGCCCTGGGGACTTCTGAGACTGTGGCTGGTGTCTGAAGTAAAGAGATCTTGAAGGGTCTATTATCTCAGAGTCTGTGGTTTGGCAAACTCTTCGTAGCAAGGAAGAGCAATGGAAAAATTCAGGTCAAGTCGAAGCCCATCGAAGGCCTCTTAAAGTCACCAGACAACTCTGAATCTAGGATGATCCTTTAGAGTTGGCTGGAT